AGAGTGCCAGGCTGGGAGGCTCAGTAGAGTCTTTGTGTGTAGATACTAGTGAGGAGACATTTTCTCCTTTTCCCTCTTCCCATCTATCCAGTACTCCCTCCTGTTGCCAGCACAGGATCAATATTTAATTTGTTGTTTATTTTCAGTTATTTGTTTGCTAAAATACAGGGTAACACAACTGCAAAACACACTCAGGCCTACATCTACAACGCTCCCATCAACAAGTGGCGTCACATCCTGTGTGAGCTTGGATTTGCAAAGTGTGACTATACCAGCAGTGTACACCACATGTGTGTGTTTCCCCTTGGCCATGGGCCTGTGAGAGTCCGAGACAATGGACAGGGCTAATTATGTCAGTTCTGGTTAAGACCAAATCACTCTTATATTCTATGCAAACAAACAAAACTGAAGCAGTGCCGTATGTCTCCTGACAGCCTTCAGTCTGGACTGAAGGGGAGTTCCTCTACTTCCTATATCATTTGGAAACAAAAGGCAGGTTGGTTGCATTCGTGATTCACATAATAACATCCTGAGCTGTTACTCTAAGCTAATTAAGACAATGTTAGCCAACTGTAGGACTGCAGTGTGCTCTTCCTCCTCACGATAAACAGGAATCCTGCATGAACCAACCAGTGCAAATGACAAAATTACAGGACAGAAACATTGTAGCATTGCAGCTTAGTAAACTCCAAGTTGACAATGTCGTCACAACCAAAATAATGCTATATTATAATCAAAATATAACACAACGCTGTTGGAACATTAACTTGTCAGCTCTGGAATCTGTAGCATTCTGAGAAACTAATATTTATAATAATATTTTGATTTAACTTAAATGTTCTGAAAGCGAAATATATTTGGTTAAAAGTGTAGAATTTAAAACAAGGAATATTGCTGTGAAATTGTACAGTGCGCTAGTAAAAGCTCATTTAGAACACACTCATTTAAGTGTGAAATCGTGGTCTTGATACAAATATAACTAGCTGCACCAGAATCTGTCCAAAGAAGAAAATGAAGGTGTATACCCAAGATTAAAGGAATGTAATTCAATACCACACTAAAATAACTGAATCTCTTTAGTTTTCAAAGGCTGATAAAGTCAGCTGTGTCAGAACTTCACACCATGAACACAGAGAAACACGGAAACAGAGTGGGAAATAAATGAAAGTGCATTTTAAATTATTATTTTTTCATTACACAGAGAGTTGCAGGAGTCTGTAACAAGCTACCCAATCCTGTACAGTGATATAACAGAAAAAAAACGTTTTTTTACATAAAGCTGGTTACAACGTCCTCTTGCTAAACCTGATTTGAACACCCCGAGAAAGCAGATTTTGTAGTCTTAAATAAACGTATGTGTAAGAAGTGTGTTACGTTAATATTCCCTTAATCCACTTACTTAAAATGCTGTTCTTAGTGTAACGTTAACCAGCAGGCTTTCTGTTCAGACCTCCTCTTATGTAAGCTTAGCCCTACGGCAGATCCTTAGGGAAACGGGATCAGATGTCTGTGTTTTCTTTTTTTTCCCGGAGCAATACAGGAAAACTGCCTATGGAATCTGGGAGAGTTGCAAATTTGCCTCCCTTCCCAAAACACCCAACATCTGCTTTCCATCTCTTTGCCACATTAAGGTCCCGTTAGTTCAGCCCTGCTCTTTTTGTCAGGCTTGCTGCGTGTGTACACACACACACCCATGACCTCCAACCTCTCCCAGGCCTCTGGTGTTCCCTTCCACCCATCCCAAGGGTTCTGGTTCAAATCCAGCCGCCTGTGCAAGCCCCAGAAATGTGAGCAGGAAAGTCTCAGCATTTCCCCGGAAAAGGTCACAAGGCCCGGGAGCTCTCACCTCATGTGGCGGGAGTCATCTTACTGCACCGGCGCGGCCACGGGATCTACCGGGGCTAAAAATGAACTTCTCGAGTTCCGTCTCGAAATATAAATATACCCAGCTCCCGTAAAGTGCGATCGGGGAATCAATTCTCTGGGCGCAAAAAGCGCTCTTTTCTTTGTAGGAGTTCTGCCAGCAACTTTCGTGGCATCACATTTTTATTTCATTACAAGCAAAACATACAGCTGCTTTAAAAAAGAGAGGGTGTGTCATCGATTCACTCACAATACAGGCACCACCCAGGTTTGAAAAACTACGTATTGGTGCTGAGCCGTGTTCCGTCGCTGCTTTCATTCTGGTTAGTATATTACCCCGGACCCTGACTTAAAAATAAGTTCGTGTCACTGAGGTGACCATAAGCAGTATATATAACCCCAGGCGTGCCCCAGAGCAGACTCAGACATGTTGGCATCTGATCTGACCTGGATTGGCTGTGCGCGTTGGGAAGGGCCTGATGCAGACGCTCACGCACCGAAAAGAGGCTTGAGTTCCTACACCGCGCGTTGAA